TGGCCTACTCGTGACAAAAAGCGCAACCGCAGCTGAGCTGCAGAGCGAGGAGTGATTGGACTCACATTATAGTCTCTCTTGGTAATGTCTTCCTCTTCTGACGAAATACTATATGAGACAACACATAATAAACAATTGAAACGTTTATGTAAAAAAAAGAAAACCCTTTTTCTACCAGAAAATATAATTGGGAAGTTAAGATAAATGTACCAAGTTATCTTAAATTTGATCACCTCCATATCAATCGCGATTAAAGGTTGGGACGTACTAGTGAACTATGCTCTGACATAATAACGTTTATCGACCGATTTTTTTCTTTTAAGTTCTAGTTAGAAGGGCAAATTTATGCCACGAGAAAGTAACATTAGTTCGAGTAAATCGAATTCGAGTAAGCTTATAGTAGATGACTGGGAAAATGGGGTCAAATTGGATCTTGTTCGAGCTAGCGTGGAGTTCGAGTTAACCGAGTTCGAGGAAGCTGGGTTCTACTGTACTTTCTTTTGACATACTTACAGTGTGACTCTGCTTTGAGCTGCTAATTTCTTTCTTTCTAGGGTGGAGAGGTTTAGGCCTGTCCCTTTTCATAGAGAAAGAAGCAAAGGTTGAAGGGCAAAACATAAAAATTTTCTCATCATTTTCGCCGGTCACAGAGTTCGACCAAAGTAGCTTGTAAGGTTCCTCATACATCTTTTTCTCAACATAGAGGTTTCGCAAAACTCAAAAGAGGAAAAATAACGGAAAATTCATAAGAAGAATTCATTAAAATCAAACAAACCTCTGGAGGCATCAACCAAGTAGAGCAGAATGCTGGCAATCAAGGCAACTGTGAGAACAATCAGAAAATATTATTTAATCATTTTCCATGTAAGGTCAAACTTCCGTATATAAGCTGATAACCTGCAAATGGAGTATCTATTTTGGGAAAAATCCTAAAAGATGCCACTAGTTAGAGTGATTTGCCGCTCTCCGTATGCTAAGTATCGCACAAAAGAGGGTTTCACTAAAGATTATGGAAATTTCAGACCATGTAAGAGCGAATACTTACTGCACAACCAGGCGCAGAAAAACACTTCCAATACTAAATATCCTTTAAGGTCTACAATTGTTCCAGCTACTTGTGAAATAACTGCAAGTCCCAGATTCTGAATAGACTGCATGCTGAAAGAATAGTTTGAAACAAGAACTTGCGTGAGGTGTCCACAACATTGACTGCAAGTAAGGTGACAGTCCCTTTCAAGTTGAGTATCCTGACTCACAACTCGACACTCAATAAATCGATACGGAATTAACGAGAATCCAGTCAAAGGATTCCATATCGGTAAATACTCGACACTGGCAAGTATCGGGATTAAATTATTGCAAATCGAGTCAAGTCGAGGATCGGGTTACTCACGAATATAGAGATCAGTACAAGTCAAAAGAATAGATTCTAGACAAATCTCGAGTTACGCACTACACATTGCGAGTACAAGACATAGGTAATGATGACCGAGTCTTTTTTTTTCGATTCTGGACCCTCACTAGTCGATAAGAACTTTTCGAGGTTCGAGAAATCAATGAACAGAAAGAGGCATCAAACACTTCTTCACTTAATGCCAAAGCACTATCCTGCAAACCTATCTGACAAATGCTGTGAGTTGGAGAATCTAATAACATTTCATAAAATTTCTTTAAGCAAAACAGATCCTGCCAATTTAGATAACTTAAAATCGATTGTTTTTCTGGTTTTCTGCGGGGGTTGGAAAACAAACACAAAACGTAAAGTAGAAGGAGAACCTTCACAACTTTGCAGGATGGCTGCAGCCGCCACTTCGCCTTCTTAAAAACAGCAAACATTTGGTATACTTACAATCCATAGGCAGTACCCAACTGATGTTCAGGGACAACTAAAGCAACAAGTGGCCACAGAGCACAGGCCAACATGGAGTAAGACACACCCAGTATACTCTGCAAAACACACACAAAAAACATGCGTCCATGAAAAGCATTTTCTATGCAATTTAGAGCGCTTTTCGATTGACTGATGTAAAACCAAAACCAAAATAATCATAACGGTCCCATGAGAAGAACCCTTCGAGAACCAATGAGAACTCGAAGTTAAAACAAGCCAACTGCCAAAAGCGCGGGAAAACGCGGGTGACTAAGTCGTGACAGGAGAGGATCCTTTCTTGGTCGTGATTGGTTTTGGTTTTGCATTTGAGAGAGTGGCGTGAGTTTTCTAGACCAATCACAGAGCGAAGAAAAGCAAAACCAATAGAATCTCGGATAGCTTTTGGCACTAAATCCAAAATTGCTCCAAATAGCAGTTCGAGTTATGCCTCCAAAAAAATTTTCGGAGGGCTGAGGTCAAAATGCTTTCTGTCTGTAAGTCAAAGTCAAATGTCAATTGACAGTTGATC